CCACCCGCTCCCCACTCCCTCCCTCCCTCCTCCTCCTCTCCACCTCCTCCTCCTCTCCACTCCTCTCCTCTCCTCTGCTTCTCTCCTCCCGACTCCCTACACCATCCCTCTGAAAACCCTTCACTACCTCACCACCCACCCCTCTTTCTCCCCGTTCTCCATAGGCAACAACCCCACCCTTTCTCCCCCAGAGCTACAGGTACACGACTAGACTAATGGCGACTGAGACTATCATGAGAGGAGGAGGAGGAGGAGGGGGAGGAGGAAAGGAGGAGAAGACGAAGGGATTGAGGAAGCAGAATGACTTCATTGTGAACTACAACCAGTGACTGCAGTTAGGACAAGCGTAGCTCTTGGCGCTGCTGGAGCAAGTCAGAAAGCAAACTTGCGGGTCACTCTACATGCCTCTCCCCCTTGACGTGCGAGCCCTTCGGGAGGGAGATCGGAGTTGTGCATGCCGGGCAGATACACAGCACCTTCTCGCAATCTTGACAGACCTGGCACGTGTCACCGGCAGCCAACTAGCTCGAGCAGCCTTACTGTGTACATATATCGCAGGTAATCCAGGATTCTGACCCACCGCTTGCATTCACATCGAACCTGCTGTCATGTCAGCACTAAGAGGTTGGCGCTGGCTCTGATCCACCTGCAGCCAGTGGTTGGCCACGCGGTCCTCGCCGTCCTCTTCCCCTTTCCATGTCTCCATCAAGAGGACGGGTCCTGCTCGTAGCGTGAGAGGGGGGAGAGGTGATGGGGGAGTGAAGATGGAATGGGTGGCGAAGGAAGAGGATTAGGAGGGCGGGAGGAGGAAGAGGAAGAGTTGTGTGAAATGGATGGGGGAGGGGCGGGGGTTGCTAAGGCATGGAGGAGGAGATCATCGTGTTACCTCGTCGACATGCTCCATCGACATGTTTCGATCGATAGTAAAAGGAAATCATAGACTGCACCCTTCTGCTCAGGAGAACAACACAGGCTTCAGTGCTCACCTTGATCGGCTTCTCCAGGCCGCTCCGGTTCAGCTACATCCAACTCAAACAAGGACAGATCTCATTCAGCCTACCAAGGAACCAAAGTTCTTCCCGTGTTTCTCTTGCCCAGCTCGGAAATTTTTTGCCTGTCCTGAATTCCAAATCTAAAGAGCGGAACGTGTGAGATATCTGCGAGAAGTCGCTCTGAAGTTTCATGACCTCGTATGGCAAGCTTGCTTCAAACGCCTCTGGCTTGTGCATCGCTCGCTCAATCTCCTGTCTCGCGGCCTGATGGCAAACATTAGGATACATGAAAGCCTTGGCGGACAACTTTTGATAACCGTCTCAACAAAGTTGTTTGCACAAAGTCTCTCACACGCGAATTCACGGAATGTGCCAATGTCCCTGAAAAAACAATTTCAATATCAACGCTGTGTGATGAACTGTACAAGACCTGTAGCTGATTCTCTCTGCCTTGCGTCTAAGGACATAGTCCTGCGTTCTCGTCAACCCATGAGCAAACCTCGTGTGCATCTTGTTGGACCTTGTAAAGAGGCTCCAGAGAAGCGAGGAACGCTTGCACCTGTGCCATCGTCTCATCAGAGGTCAAAGGTGGAATAAAGATATCGCATACCACTTCTTCCTTGTGCCCTTCAGGACACACAAAGCTTGTCGTGGCAAACAGGTTCTCTGGTGTGTATTCGCATTCTCCTTGCCATTCCGGCACCTCAGCCTGCCAAAGGAAATCATCGTGAGTGATCATCAGACTTCAGTGAGCGGAGGGTGTACCTGATAGCTTGCACCCACCCTTGATCGCATGACCCCGCTGTCAGCTACTCCCCACCTACATCAAGTTTGAGACAAGAGGCGAGTACCTCTGAGCAAACCTTTGCGTTATCTCACGATTCGCTCGCTTCTTTCTTGCAACCCAACCCTCTGGATGCATGGCATATTCGTGCCTCAAGCGAAGAATTTCTTGTGAAATCATCGTCATCGATTCATATGTATGTGATACCGAGGAACTTCTCACCGAGCAGTGCACTCTTGTTATCATCGTCTTCTCTTTGCGCTTCAGTAGAATTTCGGGTGAGCTGACGAAAAATCCCCAGGAGAGCTTCAGGCGAGGATTGCAGCACTACACTTTCTTTTTGCTTGTCAATGGTTGTATTCCTGCGACAAGAGCAGTCATCGGATGATGAGCAGTGAAACACTGAGTACAAGAGCTCTTCAGCCTCCTTGGTCCTTGCTTTCTTAGTAGGCGGTCCAGCATCAGCCGAAGTGCTGCATTGTGTAGTCGACTTCTCATCTTCTTCTGCGACATCAGGCTGTATATCCATGCTACATGCAGCCATGTTCTTGTGCAGCGATTCTAGCAATTCCACCTAGATACCCCGATTAGAAGATGAATCGACTCATCCAGCAAGATCGATCACAATCATTCGCTTCAAGAATCGTAAACTCTCCTAAGCACAGAAACTCTCCCGTCATCTCCCTTCCCACTTCTCCTCAATTGACCCATTCCCTCAGCTTCCATTTTCCCTTTCCCTCCACCCTTCTCTTTGTTCCGGCTCTCAGCTCATATCTCACCACTCTTCGCTTGCTGATCACGTCTGAGGTTCGCTTGTCCCTCGAATTCAATCCACTCTCCTGTTCTCTTCACCTGTCTTGTCCTCACCTCACTTCTATCTCCGTTCTCTTCACCTGTCTTGACCTCACCTCACTTCCATCTTCCCTTCTTCATGTCTCCTTGTCCCTCTTGCCACCCTGTCATAGCTTTCCTCCTGCGTTACCCTGCCATGGTTCTACGCCAAATCTAAAATTCTGCCATACTTTTTCCCGCGCAACCCCACGCCTCTGTGATCTCCGAGTACCTAGCTAAAGGAGTTAACTAATAAAACGTTGAAATCATACCAAAATGTTTACTCAAATTCACATTGTGGTACCTCGTTCAGATCAGTCGCCTGCTGATCGTCGCCCACCTGACTCGACGCATGAGCCCGCGGGCCGCTCGCTCGGAGGGCCGGCGGCCGTCTGAGGCGAGCCCCGGACGCTTCCGACACTGACACGGCCAGTCACAAGTCCGATCCTTTACAACTTGTAGTATGATGACGGCCCGGGGGCTCGGACGGCGTGCGTGATCGACCCACGGTGGGCCCGATCCCAGCTCGCATCCCAGCTCGGAGTCGCCGCCCGCCGCGGGCCGGGCGGCCGGCCCTCCCGTGTGACTGTCACGAGTGGCACCGCGGCCCGGGCCTGCCAGTGAGCGGCAAAGTTGGCATCCGCACATGTTGGTAGACCCGAGGTGTGAACCACGAATATGTGCTGAGCCGTAAACACAAAATCATCATGTTTTATAGGGGGTAGGGGTATTTGAAACCTCTTCAAGAAGGGGTCATATTCACTATGAAAACAAGGGGATGCGGTTGAATGGTTCATGAAAACATCGAAGGGGTAGGGTAGGGTGGGTCTCATAAGCCCCGAAATGCAGGGTAGAGTCGAAATGAGGCCGACGATAGCAGAAGCCTTGTGAATGGAGCAAACAGAGGGAGAGAGGAAAGATGAAAGGAGAACATGAGCAAAGATCACCAGGGTGGATGAGGGTAGATACCATCATGTGCTCTGTTCTTGTGCAAGTTTGTCCTCACTAACATCAAGAAAGCTAAGACCTTTCCCATTGAGCTTGTGTTGCACTGGCAGCCCTTTTGCATACATCTTGTTGTCCAGTTGAAATTGAATTTTTTGGTTTCCAGCTTGCATGAGGAAGTGAAGAAATCTGCGTGTTTTGTCAACTGGAGCAATGAACACCAGAACGAGTTTGGCTGTTATCCTGCTTGCGCTTTGCTTCCATGGCTCCCTTTGCTTCCTGCCAGCAGGGTTTGCTGGTTTTCAGCGGCACGCATGCAGATCGTCTTCGATGAGATCTGCTGCCGCGAGGAGGGTGACAATCATGTCGGACAAAGAAGACTTCCTCAACCGTGACATCGGTGGCTTCACGCAGAAGCAGAGGTTCCGAGAGGAGATTGAGTCTCCCTTCCGCAAGATTCGCCTCTTTCTTTTCCCGGCTGCAGCAGCCTCCGCAGCTCTCGGCGCCTTCATCGCAGGTACAAGGCTGCTGGCGATCAGCACTGGCGTCACGGGCTACGACTTCGACCAGACCCTTCAGAACTTCGGCATTGACGTGCTGGGAGCGACGGGCTTCGCTCTCCTCTACTGGAACGACCTCAACGCACGCGACCGAGACCTCGTCCGCATCGCTCGCTCCGGCAAGCTCTCCACCCTCACCCTCAAGATCGTCAGCGAGACCGGGAGGGAGGCGAGCTTGCCCATGAAGGCCTTCCGGAAGCAGAGGAGGATAGCTATCATAGCAGGAGGGAAAGATGTTGTGCAGGTGGCGCGTGAGATGGCCAGGGCGGGAGCCGAGGATCTGACAAAGGTGGGAGCCATCGTGCTTCCCCTCCAGCTCGACCAAGTCGGCGAGCTCGACCCAGCAGAGGTCGAGGGACTGAGAAGAGCCGTTGGAGTCCCGGAGGCCGCGGAAGGGAAGGAAGAGGCGGACTCCGAGTCTCTCCTCCCCTGTCTGGCTGCTCCGCTCTTTGTTGAGAAGTGGAAGGATTGGATCCAAGACGAGCAGAAGCGTGCTGTAGACCAGGTAAGGACCTGTCCTGGGTCCTGCCTACTTGACACGCTGACCTGCTTCCACAAGGGGCTGGATCTCAAGAACGGCATCACGATCTACGTTGAGAGGAGCGGATACATCAAGAAGCGATCCGCCGGAATTCCCTCCTGGTCTCGCTCACTTTCTTCTTCCACTCCGCCCTCAGCCTCCCTCACTCTCTGCCTTACCTCGATCACAAGATGATTTGCCAACCACCAGCCTGACGACTCTCCCAGGAGAACTTTAGCTGAGGATACCAAGGCACGGAATCGCCCTTACGGTTTGTTGCTCGTCGCCTGATGACGATCAAGTGATTCGACCTTGTGCGTCAGGGATGCCGGAGTTCTTCTAGATAGAGACGAGGAGGGAGAAGGAGGAAGTGGCAGCGAGCGGCTATTTCCTCATCGTCACCTTGTCTTGTGCTGTATTATCAAGATGATCGGAGGCTTCTCCTCCACTTTCACGCCTGGTTTCCCATCCTCTCCTTGTTGCTAGAGTTCCTCATGATCCCCTGACCTCGAGCAGAGGAGTGCCGGCAGATCGGGCTCTCTGCCGGGAGAAACGTCACACTGCAAGCAGTAAGGCGTTCTTTCTCACCGAGACCAAGCTCAATCGCGTCCTCCAGCTCAAGGATCCGCTGAGAGCCGCTGTCCTCCGACATGCCTAATATCAGAGGATTCAGTGGAGGTCAGCAAGGGGAAGGAGCAACGCACGGTGCTGGTAGCGCAGCCCACTGCGGATCAGGTTGCGAACATCGTCTGTCCTCTCGTTGAGGTTCAGCAGCATAGCCCCGACCACTCTCCTGCTCCCCCGACACCAGTCACGAGGCAGAAAGGTTAGACGGGAACTTCATTCTACCTGTCCCGCAAGTAGTACACGATTCCCTTTTCCCACAGGCCCCAGGGCTTCGCGTCGTCCTTGTTCTTAGCATCTGCATAAGTCTGAGAACCCTCCTCTACCCCCTTCCCCTCCTGTCTCCTCTACCCCCTTCCCCTCCTGTCTCCACCTCCTCACCTTCCCCTCACACCCTCTCATCCTCCTCTTCACCTGTGTCGCTCTCTTGCGCTACAAGGCCGTTGGGGTCAAACCTTCCAGAGGTCTGCGCAATGCTGTACATCTCCCTGGAGCAGGGGCGTGAGAACAGTGAGGGAGCAGAGAGAATTCCAGACATGGTGGAGTCGATGTCACCCAGCACAACCACGTCTAGGCCAAGAGGACCGCCATGCGAGCTTACGACCGAGAGATGATTGTACGCCTGAATGTGAAGCCCCCGGTCAAGAACGGCAAAACATCAGGCTCAAGAGGGCAGCAGAGGGATATGTCAGGGTTGTGCTGGAGGAGGCTAGAAAAGACACAGAGGGAAAGGAAGGCAGGACGAGCATATGGGGGTAAGAGAGGGGAGAACGGGCATGTCACCTCGCGGCCATTCAGCGACATATTCCTTGCAGCAAGAGCGCCGCTATAGAAACTACACAACATGTTCAGAAACCTCGTCTCTCCACTGCTACTCCAACCTGTGATCATAGCTTTGCATCCTTCTTCGCCCCAATACTTGGTCAGGGTAGCTGAAAAGTCTTATCAAGACGGAGAGCAGCTCAGTTAGAACTACCTCGCAGTGTCGCCAGCCACGTAGATGTCAGTTCGCGCAAGCATCTCACTGTTTACCATAACCCCTTTGGACTGAACATTCATCAGCATGTTCATCGTATAGACAAGCAAGAGAAACCTTCGAGTCAATCTCGAGCCCCGATGCCTCCGCAAGCTCTACGTTACCCTCCAGGTGTGTAGGCGCAAAGACTACATGATCGCAGTCCAGCTGAGTCTTTTCAAAGCCCTAAAAAAGATGTCAAACACATGGATTGACCAGTTCATTCCAAGTCTTCTCACCTGTAGGACGAGGTTCAAATTGAAGTGCTTCTTATCCACGGGCTCACAGATCTGAAGGACCATGTGGTATGGCCTCTCCTGGACACCCATTGCTCGAAGCAGTTCCGTCATGTAATCTGAAAAGTAAACGGGAACATAGCGATAGAGCGCTCCCGGCTCGACATACGCGTGTATAATCTCGACCTGGAATCATGTCATGTTGACAACTGCTGCTCAGGGTTTTCTCACCTGCTTGCTGCTCCCTTCAGTCTTCAGCTTGCTAGCTACTTCGCAGCCAAGAAAGCCACCGCCAACCACAACGATCTTCTTGACCTCTCCATTCCTCACCATTTTCTGCACACGCTCGAAGTCTTTGACCTTCCTCAAGTTTGTCACATGCTTCTTCAGGTGATCTGGAACGCCGGGCAACTTGGCTTCCTTGCATCCTGTAGCGAGCAAACATTTCCCAAAGGATACAACTCGACCGTCTGACAGCGTGACGACTTTGTTCTCAACGTCCAGAGAGACAACATGCGCCGTCGTGCAGATCTCGACATTCTTTCCAAGTGGCTGGGAGGACAACTTCGGCAGGAGGTCTGACTTGCCAGAGGAGGCTGTGAATGAAGTTATCATCTGCCTTCCCGTCTCCTTCCCAACGAACGTTCCAGAGTAGAGCCTCGACCCCTGCTGGTCGTCGAAGTTGTAGCGATCAGATACAACAAGTATCTCGGCTTCAGGATCGTTCTGCGTGAGCACGGCCAGCGCCGATTGTGCAACCACTGCCTTGGGGTGGGCTATGATGATGTACTTGAAGATCTTGGTCGGGATAACAGGAAGAGGCTCTGAGAAATTTCCGGAGTGTGTTGTGTTGAATCTGCTCAACCGAACGTCTTCGAGAGGCCCAGCAAGAGAGTTTGCTTGCATCGAGTCTTTGTCGCCCCACATCCATATCGCAATGCCAGCGCCAATGGCGGCAGCAGCAGATCCAAGTCTCGTGTACGACGATGAGGAGGAGGATGAGGAGTAGGAGGAAGAGGATGACGAGGAAGAGGATGAGGATGTAGAGAAGGACTGACGAACTAAGAACTTGGGTGTAGCTTCGACCCCACCCATTCCTCGTCCAACACGGTCTCCTTTCCATCGAAATGCACACGGAAACTCACTGAGCGACCTTAGGGACGGTTCGGCAGGTCTTGCTGCCGATGTTGTGACCTTAGAAAACTGGGCGATACGAACATGCCAACAGAGATGATACGGAGGACGAGCGAGATTGCATCGCTGAACCTTAGCAGTTCCTTGAGACGAAGGAAGAGAGTTTAAGGTGGGAACTTGGGAAGGCAATGCGGATGAAGGAGCAAGGGAGGAAGAGGAGGCTGGACGAGGGAGATGATGATGATGAGGTTTGGTTGAGGCTCTGCTGAGGAGAGGACGAAGGGGAGGAAGAGAGAAAGGCTGCAGCATCCCCCATGCTAGCTTCCTACCGGTCGGCGGCGGCATTGCCGCTCAAGCGAGAAAACGAACCGGTGGTAACACTCGTATGTGGGGTGGTATGCATATGAACGTGGGTAGAGGGTACATTCTTGCTCTTCATTACGGGTACTTTTCAGATGAATTGTGCACTTAAAAGGTAGGGTGAGCATAGTTGAGTATGGGTACTTTAGAATAAATCAGGGCTGTGGGTACCGTCACCAGACAAGGCCCGTGGGGTGGCGGGGACTTTGTGAAATCACATAAAATGTAACGGTTAGATAACGATATCACCGTCACTGAGCAAGGAGCCGCCTCAGTCGGAGGCGGCCCGGGCCCGGGGCCGCCCGCCGACTCGTGACGACTCGGACGGTCGGACGGCGGACTCAGCAGTGACCGTCCGTGGACAGCGGCCGGGCCACCGGCGCCCGTGGCCCGGTCGCTGCCGGGCCCGGCACTCAGAAGGGTGACGGGGCACTGAGCGGTGGCACTGAACCGTGCCGCCGGGCCGGCCGTTGAACTGGCCGGGCAGTGGTACGGTAGTACTGAGCGGCCGCCGGGCAGTAGAACCATTGAATTGCATCCGAAGTTCAACCGGGATACTCGGAAAGACGGCTGATTCATTCACTTGCCGCGAACTTGTTTCCTCCAAGTCTCAAAGACTTCCGTTGACAACTTCTTGACTTTGGACGACTCGTGCTGATGGCACAACCGTTACACCACAAGGCCCACGAGGAAGAGGAGTCAAACCTTTCTCAGCTTGCGAACCAAGACCACCAAGTCCTCCAAGACCTGCACCATCACAACAAGTTGAGACACGGTGCTATGACGGCGAGCAGCAGCGGAGGACTCACATCGTTCCCGTTGAGATTGGCTTCTTTTATCTGTTCGAGGATCTGAGAGATGCACGTCAGAGAGATCATATGGAGGGACATCGCGATCAACACCATAGCGATGCTTTGAAAATCCTTCAACTTGACAAATCTCTTCAGGTCTGCCATCCATTCCTCTGGCGAGCATGGGACTGCTACGCCTAACGGTATTGCGTCTTGCTCCGTATCGTTCATGTGGCTCCCTTCCATGGCTTCTCCTTGATAACAAGGAGATCAGAGCTCTGTTAGGCCCACGGAAGAGATTTCTTGTTGGTGATCAGTATGGAAGAGATTTCTTGTTGGTGATCAGTATGGAAGAGATTTCTTGTTGGTGATCAGTATGGAAGAGATTTCTTGTTGGTGATCAGTATGTTCGTCACCTGACATCTTTGCCCTCACCCCCTCTAGGTACGCTTCAAGCACACGTTCCGCCTTGCCGTCGAACTTGCACTTTCGCTTCATGTACTCCAACGCCGCGAGCTCTGTCACGAGAGAGCTGATCATCAATCGAGCATTCGACTGTATCACAGCATACCCAGCTTTGTTGGGATGTTTGTTGCAGAATCCTTGACACAGTTTGTGAGCATCCTGACCTATCAAACGAGTCAGCCATGCAGGTCGAGTCGAATACAAATCGATTCCTTTCTTTCATTGATGGTCGACGGGTTGCCGTTGAGATCGAACCTTGAAGATTCGATAAGGTCCAGTAAGACAGCATCCATCTCTATCCCGTCCACCACCACCACCCCCTTCTCAAGCTCCCCATCGTCCGCGTCGATCTGAATCTCATTCAGCCTTGCGCTGATCCACTTCTTGTCGTTCATCGCCTTCAGGTCTGCATTCCGGAACTGCTTCGGAATGTCCTCCTCCTTGGCCCATATATCATCCCCCTCCCTGACATACTCCTCTTCGACATTGACCTCGTCGTCCTCAGACTTCTTCTTCGACTTTGACATCTTGTCCCTGAAGTGAGCCACTCTATCATAGAAATGCTCGTTGACCCGAAATCGTTCGTCCTCTTCCGATTCCTCTGCATTGGCAAGGCTTTCGAGTGAGCTGCCGCTCTCAAAGTTGCTGTGCAGCCGTCAGCGAGCTCAAGTTCCAACAAGCAACGTACCCTCCCATCAGTCTCAACACACAAGGCGCTAGTGCATGTCGATGCCAGCATCGCGGCTGAGTCAGTCCCATGATTGACGAGGACCCTGGAAGCGCCGCTAGCATGAACACCAACACAACCAGCGACGCGTCCGCCATGTTGCTCGTTCGGTCTGGACGTGGAATGAAATACCGGGGTAGGGGTACTGGGAGGACCGGTGATTTTGACTTCGATTTTGGGTAATAAAAGAGGGCTTTGTTTGAAAGTGGGTGTTCATAGGTGGGGGTAACTGTGCAGTCGGATTGAAGGTATGGCGGCCGAGAAGGAAAGCGGAAGAGGCTGAGGGAGGAGGGGGTGAAGGGAGAAGCGAGGAGACGTAGGAGAGGATGAGAGACGAGAAGAGACGGGAAGAGGGGAGGGGAGGGGAGGGGAGGGGAGAGGGGAGGGGAGGAGAGGAGAGGAGAGGAGAGGTGATGATAGCGGAAGGAAGAGAGCACAGCAGTTCTGCGTTAGAAGGAATTTATGGGTGTGGACAGTGGGAGGGACCATGAGCAAGGAGAGTGAGGGGATGAGGAGGAATGGATGTTGGATAGGTTCTGCATTGCTATCATGAACATGAACATCACTGAAACTTACAGTAATAGCTTCAACAGGCTAATCAACATGGGAGGGGTCTAAGGTATGATGCGTTCAGACAAGAGCCATTGACGCAACACCTCGGTCTGATCACCCCTACCATGGCATCGCTCAGGTTTCTCCTGGGGATCATCTGCATTTCATGCATCAGATGCGATCATCGGCTTGTTCCTGGGACACATCGCAAACCGATCCGGCCATGTGCAGTACAGCCTGTGCTGTCTGACAGCTCGGGTTCAGCCGCGTTCCTTGTGCACCTGAGGGGTGGGCGACACAAGAGGAACAGGCATCGATCGAGCCTCAAGAACAGGCTCAAGGGAGGAGGGAAAGGGCCGCAGGATGACAGGAGTCACTTAAAGCTTCAAGACATCTTGGATAAGGATGTGGCATCGGAAGAGGAGGAGAAAGTGGGGCAAGTAGCAGTGGAAGAGGTGGATTACAAGTACGAGTACAGGAAGCTCCTGGTGGAGGTCGAGGCCTTGAGACAGGAGCTGCGATCGCGCACGCAGAGTGAGCATGCTCGGGATGATGGTGGGAAGATCCAGGAGAGCTCGAGCAGTGAGAGCGAGGAGATGGACCTTGACAGTGTGAACCATGCGAAACACCATGCAGCACATGAAGACAACATGCGGGAGCGAGCCAAGTACATCCCGATGAGGCTGAGTATCAAGGAGCGAAAGCTGCTTCGCTTGTTGGAGGCAGCGCTGTCGGTCAGCGAGTACGTGGACCGTGTGGATGTGATCTCGTTCAAGTCTCGCTCAGGGAGGATGGTCTCGATGATCAAGGAAGTATGCTCGATCCTCTGCGGGCTGTTGGTGTCGAGCGACTACAAGGAGGGGCAGCGACTGATCGAGAACAAGAACTACGCTGACAACGAGGAGTTCTTCCAAAAGATCTTCGAGGTCGGGAGAAGGCACAAGATCATGAACCCCGAGAAGATGAGGAGCACGTACGGAAAGCTCATCTACATGCTCCAGGACGCCGAGTCCCCCGAGGTGTCGGAGGTCCTGGGGTTTAAGTGCGTCAAGGAGATCAGGACTGTCTTCTCTTTCCTCCAGTATGCAGGAGCTGTGGAGCTTCTCAACGACCCGCTGGTGCAGCTGGCAACCTCGGAGATACGCTCCGAGAACAGGAGCCGAGAGCAGGTGAACGCGGACATTCGGCACAAGGAGAAGGCTGTGGAGCACCTCGCGAGGAAGTACCGGTGCGAGCCAGCTCGGCCCCTGCTCCCTGCCTGAGTTGGCACGTGCAGGAGCGAGAAGCTGGAGGAGGAGGACATCCGCTGCTGTCTCTACTCCATCGGGGACAACAACGCCTTCCTGAGGTTCACCAGGGACCCTTGTGAGAAGGTAAGGACCTTCCCCCGGTCTGCCGCAGCGCCTCCCTCACGATCTCCTTAGATGCTCGAGTGGCTCAGGTCCAAGTTCAACCCTGAGCTCCCTGAGGACGATTTTTCCCTTGCCATCATCGGGGGGAGGAACGGGGCAAGGCTGACCCACAGCCACAGCAGGCAGTATCGCTTCGTGGAGCAGTCCCTCATGCTCTGGAGTGCAATCCTCAAAGATATGTTCAAGGTCACTCCCTCTCTTCCCCCCTCCTGCTGAACCCCCTGGTGGCCTCCTGCTGCTCGTCCTCCCTCTCCTTCTGCTGGACTGACTTGAACTTTTGAGATTTGACGTGATGGCAGTTATGGCACTTGTCCGAGCAAGATCTGCTCTCATCGCTGCATCCTTACAAGCTCCGGGACACAGGGCAAGGGCTCAACAGAGTACAACACAGCCCCCGCATAGGAAGCGAGATGGAACGAATCCTCCACTCGGTTCAGTCAAAGCTGCAAAGGTACCTCCCCTTGCTATCCGCCCTACTCCCTGCCTCCCTTCTCCGCCCGTTCAGCTTGCCATGCTCCACCTGACCTTGTCCGGCAGCAAGTGGGAAGGCTCGTCGGTTGTCCACCTGGGAGACCACAACGTTCCCAACGCGCTCATGTTCATCGACAAGTACACGCAAGTCGAGAGGATCCTCAACCCCGTCGTCCTCTGCATCGAGAAGCTGCCCCAGCTGTATGCTAGCGACAAGGGCATCAGGAAGTACCTCGACTCCTCCTTCGGGTCGGTGGAGCATCTCAGGTAATGGCCATGGAGGAGAGCAGGAGGGAGCCGCTGAGTGATGGCTCGGCGAACTAACTCTGACATCACTGCTAGCAAGATGATTCTGTCTGACTTCTTCCGGAGTGCCTTCGACGGCAGGTGATCGCGAGGGTCATTGCTTATGTGTGTTTGACGGCTCTCCGCCTCTTGTTCCCTCAGTGGCGCCGACAACTTCTTTGACGCCGGGTCCTGCATCGATGGCAGGCTAACAAGCGCGTGGTGGGTTCTTGGCTGCGAGGATTTCCATCGAACATTCTTGAGACGGACTCCTCCTCCCCTCCCTCCCTCCCTCCCTCCCTCCCTCCCTCCCTCCCTCTCAACGTTTCTCTTGCCCTGCGGGTCTCGATGTGACTGAGCGGCGTCACTCAGGAACTGGTGCAGCCGCATAGAGAGGAAGCCTTACTTCCCCGCGTGAGTCGCTCCTGCCTGTCGCTCACTCGCTGAGGGGTCCCAGGTTTCTGCTGACGGGCTTCACGGGCTTCGACGGCAAGTTTGAGTAAGGAGGCGACATGCTCGAGCACCCGCCTGCGGCCCCTCAGTCTGCTGAAGAATACGCAGAAGAAGATTATCGCGATTTCATGAAGAGAAGGTCTGAGTCGGGAAAAACGTACTTCAACGGTCTACATGACAAATACATCAAATTGAGAACTACTACTGATATCAATGAGTTTGCGAAACAAACGCAAATCGAAAATCTGATAGAAAAATCGCAGAGTTCCAACATGAATTATCACACATGTGTTGCATCTGTGGACAACTTCATACCTTGCATGCTGGCAAATGCCCTCCAAGACCGTGGGGCTTCTGACGAGGCCATGGAACTTAGTTAGTCAATGAGATAACTCCCATCAAAAGACACCCACCAGTGATTCCGCCCTGTTAGACCCCTCTACCCGTTTATCGCGTATATAAATCCGTATTCATGTTCCATGGTCGAATTATAGATAAAATCGAATAGCGACGATTGTCCCATGTAAGGAAGACACTGACTCGACATCGAACCTGGCCCAATCGGTAAACGAGCATGATGATGAAAAGGGTTTTACTCTTCTTGGGATCATCTGCCGTCGGCACATTCTCCCTAACACGCGACAACAGGGTGCACGCTCAGAAATTCAAGGGTGCCACGGCCAAGGGGTTGGACCAGGGAAACGAGAATAGCAAGCAGATACTACACACGATCAAGGTAAAGTATTCACACGTAGATATACGGGCCATCTTATGGATGTTTGGGTCTATTGACTGCAAGTTATCGTATTACTACAACTTATGCAACACATCAGACACACAAGAAATGCAGGAACTCATAAAGATCATCGCTGACACACCTGAGAACAATGCAAGGGTATACGCATCCATTGTCAGGCATCACCCGGACAAGCTGCGCAAGACATTCATTGCAGTACTACAGGCGACGTGTACCCGACACGGTATTGCATTTGTACATATAGATGACCATGTATGACAGACAGACCGGAGACGATCTATCTCGCTCTGTCGTCAATTCGGATTATAGAGACCCTTATCCACATGTATTCACTTAAACTGGAAAGCAACTCTATCCCTTTACATCGAGGAACTTTGAAAACACGGGATCACCATCAACAACACCCTCGACCTCAAGAAAACAAGCGAGGAATACCTGGAAGAGAAAGCAATGCTCCCTCTGAAGAAAAGGAAATTCCCTCCATCATAATGCCTTGAAGGAAAACCGACAGCATACCCCTTGCAGAGCGAGGTACGGAAAGCCTTTTTCTCCCAAACAAGCAAAATACCATCGAAAGAGAGAAGGACGCCAAGGGCAAGTTTGTGTCCACGGGAGCGAAATCGAAGAAGAAGGCCGTGCGCAATGCCATCACCAATGCTTCTCATGATATTCCCCCCGTGAAGACGATTGCAAAGGGTAAGAAGGCCTCATCTACAAAGAGTTCGGCCTCACCCTCCCGCCTCCCCTGCGTCTTCATCGATGGCGGCAAGCGTCAGATCAAGGTTGCCCCGCTCCTCGATGTCTTCCCCGCGGGGCACTTGAACAGCTGGGGCGTGCAATAAAATGCACTCCTTGACGGTGTTGTCAAAGTACTCCGCCACTGTGCAGTTGCCCTGGTCGATGACGGGTAGGCACTGCCCATCCTTGTAGTACCACTCGTCGTGGTTGTCGATTCCCTTGAAGAATTTGTTGCAGTTGGGCGAGCAGTCGGAGATCCTCACTAGCGTCACGCCATCGGGGAATGTCCAGTATTGTGGGCACTGGTCCTCTGTCACAAGTGGCGATTGCGGTATCCTACATGTCTTGGTCTCATTGTCGTACTTATAGAGGATGTTGTAGAGCCTCTCGCAGGTGATGCAGTCCTTGATCGATGTCGAGGCGTTGGGGCTGGACAGATTGTAGGGGCAGTAGGTGCAAGGGATGTTCCCAAACTCTCCCTTGTAGGAGGGCACACAGGGGTCGAGCCCGTTGCCCGATCCAGTGTATCCAGGATTGCAGAACCTCACCCCGCTGACATAGCCAGACCTGCAGTAGCAGTTGTCCTCGCTTGTAGATCCCGGGTCAGAGTCCGGGCAGACGGAGCAGGAGAAGCTGCTCAGAACGAATCCTTTAAAGCACTTGCAGCTTGTGCTGTTGACGGAGAGAGCTGGGGAGGATGAGTTCAACCAGATAAACTCAGTGACGCGCAAGCAGCCACAGAGGTTCAGTTGAAAAACCATTCTGCTCATGCTCTTATCGTGAAGAGAGCAGTGACGGCAGTCACTATGAGAGTGAGTGCCATCAAAGCGTGGGAGCTGGTTGCGGAACTTGAAGCCGGAGCAGAAGGCGCGGGAGCAGAGGGCGCGGGAGCAGAGGGCGCGGGAGCAGAAGGCGCGGGAGCAGAAGGCGCGGGAGCAGAGGGCACGATGGGAGGCCCGACTACCCATTTGGACTGACTGTAAGTTGTTGATGTTCCTGCGCGCCTTCGAGCAGGAGCACCAGCAGACCCGTAGAGGACAGTCTGACCAGCTGTCTGAAAGTATTGCTTGGGGAAAAGAATGTCAAAGTATACAGACATGGCGTCTCCAGTGACTGGGTTGGCTCTGATATTCACGACATCGCTTCCATAATTTGATAGAGCATCGCCGGATCCCATGGTAGCGTAGTTGAATCCTTTCGAGAGAACCAAGGAGATGAGCTTGCCGCCTAGAGAGAAGGAGATGTCATTGACCTCGACGTTGCTCATCTAACTAAAGGCTCTTTGGGCGAGTCAACACGACCACCCTCTCTTTTACCATCAAGGTCCCCCCCTCACCCCCTTTCCAAGTGATTTAAAATTAACTTCTCGTCGGGCAAGCATCAGTTTTAAGTCAACAAAATTTTGGTGCCCCCCCCCATGGCTGAATCATTTTCGACTCATCAATCGATCCAACTATAATTATTTTCCTCTCATCTTTTTAAAAGTGTAAGCATTCCATTCAAAACTCCAAGTTTTCTACGCTGGAAAATGATTAGTAGGATCAATTGATGAGTAGAAAATGATTACACCAAAATTTGATTGACACGAAATTGATGATTGCCCGACGAGAAGTTAATTATATCACTGGGAAAGGGGCTGTGGGGAAGGGGGTACTTGATAGTAAAAGAGAGGGTGGTCGTGTTTCTTCTCCAAATATTTTGGAAAACCCAAATATTATACTGTTGGCTCATGTTGTAATGTAGGGAGGGTTCATTATGAAACTGCAGGGGACCCCACCCCAAGTCAATCTGTATTGGAAGTACCGGTGAATTTTTTCGAGGAAAATTTCAAATCATTTCTGGGCGGCCGGCGGGAAACGCCCCTTTATTAGCCTCTTCCTCTCCTCGCGTCCTCTCACCCTTGGCTCGGCGGACATGCCTGCTGCTGCTGCTGCTGCTGCTGCTGCTTACCTCGCGGCAGCTCTGCTCCTCCTGCTCTGCTCCCTCCCTGGCTCTCAATGCGCCTACACCTTTGTCAAAGCAGAGGGACAGGACATCTGCGCCGGTGTCGTACCTGATTGTGCCAACAAGGAGGATTGTTCCACTGCAGCCTACGGGCCGTGCACCGCTGCCTCCCCCGGCCCCTCAGCCTATGTCACAGTCATCCCCAACGGATTGGCATGGGTCTACGATATCAACACCTACACCACCGACCCCAATCAGGTCAACGTGATCAACGTTTTGCCGAACGTCAACAATGGGTTTGTGGAGAGTCAATCAGGCATCAAAGAAGGAAGTGCCGAGTATGCATACATGATGGCCGGAGGTCTAGTTGGTAACACCGTTGAAAGCTGCGGCTATGTTGGCGTGATTAATGCGATCATGACCAAAGGATCTATCAGCACAAAGACAATACCTGTTGCATGGAATACACCCGACAACCTTCCGTCTGACCACACAACTTACAACCACAGAGCAGATTACTGTATCGCTTCTGCGTCCAACGGAGCTTGTACCGGAACTGATGTGACATTCGCATCCGGAGACATGGCGTTCATGGCTTACCTCGGAGTCATGGGTAGCAAGTACGTTGCGGACCCTAAGGCCGCGTATCTCGGCCTCAGACTTAAGATGGCGGTGGTGGACAAGAATGAGACATCGGCGAACATGACTTTCAACTCCCAATCGAAGAAGCTGAGCGAGATGAGCAACGTCGAGGTCAATGACATCTCCTTCTCTCTAGGCGGCAAGCTCATCTCCTTGGTTCTCTCGAAAGGATTCAACTACGCTACCATGGGATCCGGCGATGCTCTATCAAATTATGGAAGCGATGTCGTGAATATCAGAGCCAACCCAGTCACTGGAGACGCCATGTCTGTATACTTTGACATTCTTTTCCCCAAGCAATACTTTCAGACAGCTGGTCAGACTGTCCTCTACGGGTCTGCTGGTGCTCATGCTCGAAGGCGCGCAGGAACATCAACAACTTACAGTCAGTCCAAATGGGTAGTCGGGCCTCCCATCGTGCCCTCTGCTCCCGCGCCTTCTGCTCCCGCGCCTTCTGCTCCCGCGCCTTCTGCTCCCGCGCCCTCTGCTCCCGCGCCTTCTGCTCCGGCTTCAAGTTCCGCAACCAGCTCCCACGCTTTGATGGCACTCACTCTCATAGTGACTGCCGTCACTGCTCTCTTCACGATAAGAGCATGAGCAGAATGGTTTTTCAACTGAACCTCTGTGGCTGCTTGCGCGTCACTGAGTTTATCTGGTTGATAGTCTATGAGACTGGCAAGTGGGGGGGATTTTCTGGAAATAGAACATGAGAATCATCAATCATGCAAAGAATCATCAATCATGCTACACACATCCTTCATATCGAACTTGTTGTTTGGCATTCCGCCAAAGGCATCAAGTCCTCTTTCTCCCATTCTTTTCACTTCAAGCATTGTGCTCGTCCGTAAACCGAACGGGGACATCCGTATGTCTTTCTGAAGCGACTCCGAACGCGAGGACACGCAGTCCCCGCCCCCACTCCCCGCCGCCTCCGGAAGCTCCTCCCTCCCGGTGAATCCACGCCCGCTGCCGCGTGCGGTGGCGAGGGTGAGGCCCCCGCAGCGCCTTGCCTCCGGGTACGATTCCGACTCCGTGATGGAGGACAGCTGCGATGAGGAGGAGGACATCAATAGCTCCTACAACCTCAGGGATTACGTCGGCCGCAGGAAGTACTACAGCAACAGCAGCGATGAGACGCCGGGCTACGATGAGAGCATGGACCCTGCATGCGATCCCGTCGAGTCGCGTTCGCCGATGAGAAGATGAAGTCAAGAGACAGCGATGACGGCTACGACTCTATGGGCAGTGACGACCTGGACATGCTGGATGTCGAGATACGGGATGAGGAGCTGGATATCATCCGTGATATGAACAAGGGTGACCTCGTCAGCTTCTGCAAGAGCTGCACCCCTTTCGCCATCTTCGAGGCCGTTGTGAGGCTGAAGTGTGTGGAGGAGAGCGAGAAGGCGGGCTTCGGCGTCTATGTCTGCGGCGCGACCTCGATATTCCATTGCCGTGTCTGCAACATGATCACGACCTGTAAGTGCTGCAGCCAGAGGGGGTGCTGCTTGATGTGTGGCAGCGACGACTCTGAGCTCATCGGTGTGAAGCTAGGCAATCCCTCCTCGGTTCAGTGCTACGTTCACGACATCGACTGCGCAGAGGCGAGGCGCAAGGCCATGGTGCTCAACGACAAGTCGGATGATTGCAATCTGCTCTTTGACAATGCAAGGGATCGTGTGAGCTTCTCGCGGAGTGTGGAACGCAGCGCCATGAGGTATGGTTTCGACAAGTATATCGCCATCGAGCGCATGCTGTAGTATCCCTCACCAGGCCAAGCACCACGAAGACGTTGTCCTCCACCCATCCACCCCTCAACGACCTCCGAGATCTCGATCGGCTCATGCATTTTCTTCTTCGCATAAGCGATGATATTTTCGATTTGCGTTTGTTTCGCAAACTCATTGATATCAGTAGTAGTTCTCAATTTGATGTATTTGTCATGTAGACCGTTGAAGTACGTTTTTCCCGACTCAGACCTTCTCTTCATGAAGTCGCGATAATCTTCTTCCTTTTGTCCAATTCACGCGATATGAACTTGAGTGTGTGTGTCTTTAATTCTTGCTTTTCAAAATTTTTCATAGTTCTAGTATGTGGAAGTTTTTCATGCAATCTGATAAGGTATGCGATCAAGGTACCAGCATAGTGAGCGACTTTGAATGATAGCGCGTTTGTTCTCAATTCGTCCATGAGATAGAATATGTCACCTGTAGACGTTTCGTTGTCTATGTATATGTTGAATTGTAGGAGCACATCGTGATAACTGGAATCCTTATGCTTGTCCACAAAGTCATTACATGTCTTGAGTTGCGATTGCCAATGTTTTCTTTTATTCATCCTTCTTAAAGGTCGATATTTTATCGTCGATTGTGAATATGTACCCCATCATGTTATCCATATTTCCTCTCTTCATCCGGTGTCATCAATGTGACATACTCGAGCACCCGCCTGCAGCCCCTCAGCCTACTTGCCCTCTCCACCCACCACTTCCTCTTGGAGTCTTTGAAGGTGCTCACACTCGTGCCGCTGCTACTGCTCTCTCAGGCTAGAGCCTCTGACGGCACGATCGGATGGCGAGCCCATCGCTCGTTCCTATGGCTCTTTACAAGATGCGACTCCCGCCCTGAGAGCTCATAGGAGTGAATGTGATGCCATCAGCCTTTAAGACGATTGAAATAGACGATTGAAAAACTTCTCGAACAAGTCGCGCTACCTCAAATTCTAGTTTCTCGCGCGCTCATTTGCAGGTCCAGTAGTCCGAGTCGAACATGGCGTACGCATACCTACCGTACTCCTTGAAGATGTACTCCCTTCTGAGTGAGACGGGGTTGCTCTGGCTGGAGCAGTAGTTCTGCTCTGTAGGATAGATAGGCATCGTCCAAGTCTTGGAGGTCCACAACAAGTCGAGCCTGGCTTCCATGTCGTACCTGTGTCCGATCTTCATCTTCTGTCCTGATCGCTGCATGGACCCGCATCGGAAGCCCAGGTAGGCATACCCACTCACCGTGAAGCGAGCGTTGGCCCAGTAGGGTCCGATGCTCAATGTGGAGTACCCGGTGATGAGCGGATTCGAGCCGAACTGACCGACAGAGCATGTGTAGTACTCCTTCATGGTCAGCCCCCCTACGATACCTATGCCCACGCCCAGGGAAGGGCAGAAGCTGGAGATGGCGGAGGGGAGGCGCATGGGAGGACAGCGGCAGGGGTTGATGCTGACGAAGAGGTCGCCTGCGTAGCTGATGGTGGCGCGATTGGAGTTGAGCCCCCGGATCTCAAGCTCGATCCCTCCTGAGAAGCTGGGGCAGCCGTAATTGATCTGGGGCTTGATGTACATGGCGACGTTGTCCTTGCAGCTCTCGTACATGAACTCAAGGCCGATCGAACCTGATCTGGCGGTCGTCTTGGACGATGACTTGGCCGAGCTGATGCTGCTGTAGGGGCCCTGGACTACCGACGGGTACCCGAGTCGGGAGCAGAAGGACCTGAGCGATGAGTTGCCGGGCTGCGAGTTAGTCGATTCAGCGGCCCTAGAGAGAAGCTGAGCCTCGCCCAAGAAGCTCCAAGACTGATCGTTGACATCTTTCTTTCTGTCAGAGAACAGAAGCCTGCGAGACATGTTGGCCCCCGGCTCGAAGGAAGACATATCCTCCATCGTTGTGCTTGCGTTTTCATGGAGGCCCCATGACGGATCAGGGACTATAATATTTGACACAGATCCCTCCATGAGCTTTGCCGGGGGGATCAGATCCTGTGGATCGCAAGCCTGCAGGATGGTTTCCATGTCCAGGTCGCTCAAAGGAATCGGATTGTTCTCCTCCCCCTCGATCGCCATCAGCGAGTCAAACCTCCAACGAAGGTTGCCCCGCACGAACTGGTAGAGCCTCTTCCTGTAGTAGTCCTCGTACACATGGAACACCTCGCTGCTCCCTTCCGCCTTTGCGCGAATTTCAAAGTGTTTGCAGTAGATGCCGTTCACTGATTGGAAGCCCTGGAAAAGAATTTCAAAGTCCGAGGATGCCTTGGGGCTAGCAAGAGCTCTTCGGTTGTCGACAACTGAAGCGAGGGACTGATCCTCTCTGAGGTCACAGAAGAAGTACTTCCCTTTGAACACCTGATACGTCAGCTTGTGCGACTCGTTCTGAATCTTGATCAGCTTTTGCTCCGGCCATTGCGCCTTGGTCTGAACCGTCTTGGCCCAATGTCTTGAATTGAACGTCAAGCTGTACTGATCTTCCTCCAAACGCAACCCCTTCCTTCCTGCATCTTCATCCGTCACCCAGTCAACCGTCTCGCCTCCGCCAGTCTGGCAGGAATAGGTCGACTTCCCCCCTTCGTCTTCGCAGAACTCAACCTCCACCACGTGCGCTGTGTACTGCGAGGGAGGAAACGCCGGGAGCTGGTCGGGCTTAGAGTGTTCAGCTGATTCTTGCTTGAGTGCGCTCCTGATGATGTTGAACATTCCGAGTATCTCCACCACCCCTAGAAGTCTCCGCCCGTGCGAGTCCACCTGGAACCCAGCTCTTGTGAAGGCGCCTTGCAGTGATTCATGGAAGACGATGACCTCGCCGTCAAGGGTGATGTCACCGAGGTGAGTGTAGATGACAACAACACTGCCGTGCCTGCTCCAGGTCTCCTCGTACCTCGCGACTGCGAAGATCTGAAAGTGGATGAAGGCCTGGCCTTGTATCACCTTCATCGACCTGAGCTCCGACAGCTGCTCGTCGTCCATGAGAGATGTCAACTTTGCAGGAGATGTGGACTGAGCCGTCTGGATGGGTTTGACAGCGCACGTGTCGTTGCTGCAGGTCATGTTGAGCGATCTTCTCGACGTCAGGACACCATCCTTGACATCGAAGTCAGTCGAGGCGACTCGAACGGGCTCGTCGGTTCCCTTTACGGTCATTACCCCCCCAGCCTTGACTTCACTGTCCTTAGTTATCTCAATCACCGCGTACGTCAATCCGAACACGGCGGCCTGAGTGAGGATGAAGAGGATGCCGAGGATGATGAGGAAGTTGAAGTACATCCTTGACTTGTTTCTCTCATTCTTCAACGCCGAGATTCCAGTCAGAATCTCGTGGGAATCTAGAAATTCGTCATTGTTAATGTCCATCATCTTCAGCTGCTGGTGGGCACTAGGTGGGAATACGTCCAAGGGAATCTTTCCTCGTGTCTTGATCTGTACGAAACGGCTGTGGAAATCGAAGGCCTCGGTGATCTGCTCTGCGTCGAGCGTCCGCATCTCCTGCTTCAACGGAGCTGCTTCACTTGCGTCTTGAGAAGCAGAGATTGTTTGCTGCATCTTGACTGGCAGCAGCGAGAGAGGAATCTTCCCTGCCTCGAGGCTCTGGAACACTAGGGCCATCTCCTGAATCTCTTCAACGTTGAGCATCCCGTCCTTGCTCCTGTTGAATCGTCGTAGAGCATCCGCCAGGTTGGGAGGCAGAGAGTCGAGGGGGACCTTCTCCTCAGCGCGCTCTGCATGATCGACGTTGACTGTAGGCTGCACCTTGTCTTCGTCCTGCACGTCCACGAAGATCAGACTCGCTGCTGCCAGGTCTCCTCCCGCCTCCAACCCGCCGCCTCCGTTCGCCATGTCGGCCATGACCGGTCGAGTCAGAGACTGACACCCACCCGCCCAGCTATTGTCACATGACCGTCCAACATCCAGGGGTAGGGGTTCCCATAATTCAGTAGCGGGGGGTAGGGGGTAGTAATATGCCAAGAAGGGGTCATTAAAATAATGCAGCACAAGTCGAGAAGGAGCGGGGGTAGGGGTCAGTAATAATGGCAGCACAAGTCACGAGTCAAGAAGTAGCGGGGGTAGGGGTCAGTAATAATGGCAGCACAAGTCAAGAAGGAGCGGGGGTAGGGGTCAGTAATAATGGCATAACTTATGGCAGCACAAGTCAAGAAGTAGCGGGGGTAGGGGTCAGTAACAATGCAGCACAAGTCAAGAAGGAGCGGGGGTAGGGGTCAGTAATAATGCACGCGTCAACGGGGGTAGGGGTCAAGTACGCATACATCGTTGAACGGTGTCAACCCCTGATACCTTCAAGTCTTTCACTACCCCCCCCCAACCCTCCCCCCCCCCCCGCCGCCGGGACTCGCTGGCAGGGGTCAGTGGAAAAAAAAAGACTCGGGGGTGTAGTGCAGTGCGGTACCCTCTACCCTACCGGGTGACCGCCGCCGTGTCCGTACGGTACGGTGGAGATCGGACAGGACCCCCAGCTGATGGATCGCATGCCAGCCGTGCCAGTCAGATAGCGCCGAGTTAACAAAACTCTCCCTCGTACTGATCTTTAACTTAACTTTGAGTAAAGAAGCTCTCAAGGCAGCAATGTACTACGGTACGTGCTGACTCGGACGAAGAGGAGGTCTTCCTAGCCGTCTTGCTAAGGTTATCTCATGTCTGGATGCTTCAGAGTCTGGTTTCGTGTGCCGCATTAAACTCGGTCCGATCTTGAGCAAAACCGTCTCAGTGACTCGCTGTCTAGCCCGGGGGACCGTCCGAGAACACTGAGCACTCACGGTGGTGACCGCTCACAGCGGCCTCGGGATGTCCGAGCCTGACTCTGTGAGGCTCTTCTTTACTCAGTCGGGCCCGACCGTCACGGCGTCAAGTCCGGCCGCGCTCTGAGTGGCCGCGGCGGCCCGGCTGGCCGGCGGCCTCCCCGAGTCGGAGTCCCGGTGACCGGGGCCCTCTAAGGGGAGATAACCGATTTGTAACGGCAGGCTCATTGCGATGGCGGACCTGGAGGAAGAGCTGCTGCGGGAGATGGAGACGGAGAGCGAGTAAGAGGAGGAGGAGGAGGAGGAGGAGGAGGAGGAGGAGGAGGAGGAAGATGCCTTGGTGAGACCAGGAGGAGGAGAAGCAGTGCGTCGACTGAGTAGAGGACGCCCCCAGCAAGATATGGAAATTGCGATTGAAGCGAGCTTGGTCGCACTTAACATAGGCAGACGCGAGTACTTGGAGATGGGAGGGGAGGGGGGCGGAGGGGGAAGAGGTCATGCAAGGCGATGTTCACACAGAGAAAGAGGGTGATGAAGACGGGGCGAAGAGATGGGGCGAAGAAGAGAACACCTGTGGGATAGGAGAGGATAAGGTGTGGGTGGTTTTGCCACACTTGGGGCAAGCGCAACAGAAGGTCTTGTCTGGTGTGAAGTGACTGTTCTAGCCTTGATGTTGTAGCGTGTACTTGACATGATGTTCTCAGGTGCAGTGAAGCTGCAGAAGAAGAAGCATCTCCCATGTTTTTGAGCTGGAGCGGTATAGGTACCAGTTAGTCGTGCGGGAGAAGTCTGACTGTATTCCAAGGGAAAGCACGGTTGAACTTGCTAGGCGAAGATGTTCTGATCAGAATATTCTCTATGCTTCCTGTCACCAAACTATGTGATAGCTCGCTCTTAGATGCCCTGTGGTTTCCCTGCCTTGCTGCCCTGATGCTTGTTTTCAGGTACCATGGCGTTGGTCTGTCAGTGGTTGAGGAAAGTTTCGGGCAAGGACGTCCTGTGGAAGGCGTTGTATCTTGAGCGATGGGCGGATCCGAAGTCGCACATCTTTGCGAGAGATGCGCTGAGAGAGGTGGGAGGCGCTGACAACTTTGGTAGCTGCTCGCTCTAAGACGTGTGGTGCAGGGGTGGAAGAAGGTGTATGCCTCGAAGGATATGGATATCAAGGCACAGGTTACGATCTGATGTCTCATGTGTGAGTTGCTGTCGTGGGTGACACGGAGGGAGGCAGGACGAGAACGAGGCGTTGATGAGCTCTATCAAGTGTATCGAGGATAAGGAGTGCCAGGTGAGGAGAGTTGGTGAGCTGAGCGATTGTTTGATGGAACCAAGGATGCCTTTCGAGCAATGCAAGCCGCAAAGAGGTCGCTCTCTCTCAACAAGAAAGCGACTCCCAAGCAAGAAGGTGCTTGCAGAGCTCTCGCGGTGCTCATGGTGTCTGACTGTGGGATCAGAAGGAAACTCCGCCATGGACCTCCTGCAGAACGCGATACTGGAGTTCAAGTCTCGATGCAAGTTCCCGCACGCGGGGCACTCCAGCAGCTCTGGCTCCTTGGGAGTTTCTCTTCCACCGTTCGAGTCCGGCACCAAAGGTAGCAGTCAAAGTATGGAATTGAAACGGCGCTGAAGTGCGTGACAGTAAACGTTGATACGAATGGAGTTGGCGAACAGAAGAGATCACAGTCACAGTCCTCCATGTTCGGAAAGGTGATTGAATCGAACTTACCCCTTTCCTGGTCCTGGATCTCCTCCTTTTTCTTCTTCCTCTTTCTCCTCCTCCTCCTCCTCCTCCCCTCCTCCTCTTCCTCCTCCTCTTTGTTGTCTCATTGGAGCTCCAGGGCGGATTCTTCACATCTTGCACTGCTGGACCCTTCAGAGATTTCTTAGCACACAAGGTTGTTTCTCCTGCTTAATTCTCTACCTCCCGGTGACCTCGCGCAGAAAATCTTTCCTCGCAAGCATCAGCTTGAAGTTTGCATCTGTAAACTCACGGGGGAGCTGCATATGTGCAGGTTGCACCATCCCATTTGCTGACCTCCTCCTCTGACTCCCTCACCTCAGCTACGATGGCCTAGCCAGAGGGTGCGAGCTGTCGCTGCCCAATGATGATGGGTACTTCGTCTGCCCGATCACAGGTGGGGGGAGGAGAGACTCTTGGATGCTCCGAGCTAAGTTGAACCTCCAGGGATCATCTGGTGCAACTCAAGGCTGCAAGTGAGTCTCCTGAGCAGGAGAGCGGGAGGACGGTTGTTGACCTTGCGTCTGCACTCCAGGTTGCGGTGGAGGAGGACGAGGACGAGCCCTGAGAAGAGGCCTTGTGAATGTCTGGCGTTGAAATCACCATGACGCCACCGTGTGCATTAGTTCATCTGCTGTATTGTTTGTGTTTGTGTTGTAATTGCAGCATGATTACTTTTGAAGCTCCAATGGTTCACATACCGGCGTTCCCTCCTCTCCATTCAATCTTCTCCTGTTCGCACCGGCAACTTGAAATGTCGAACAAAGAGACCGCATGGCCTCGGGCAAGCACTGGAAAGCTCTTTGCCAATCCTCTTTTATTTACATGCTCCTGCAAGCATGGAGCCCTCACGCTCCTTCTCCTCCCTCGTCCTCACGGCCACAGCGGAACCGGCAGGTTGTCCTGCCATGACATCAGCCCTCTACCTGCTGCACCTCCAGCTCACCTTGAGCCTCCATGCGACAGCGAACGTCGCTCCAAGGCCTGACATCACCAGGACGCCAACAGCCGACGGCACCTGAGCGACAAGTTAGTGTGAGATCTCACGGCTCGAGGGCCTAGGCCCTCACCGCGATCAGAGGGTTCTCGAAGTGCTTCCTAGATGCTTACAGTCAGCAACGGAGGAGAGGAGGGGAGCGAGGTGAGAACGAGGACACAACTGATCTCTTACATGGCAAGGAGATATCCAAGAGCCGCACTTTGCATTCCAGTCTCGATCGCAATGGTCCCTGCAAATGACTGTCACCTCCCATCGCTATCTCCCGAGTCTTATTTGCTTACTGCTCATCCTCTCACTCATCCCCAGCAGGTACCTTGGGAGTGAAAACCCAGCAAGGAAGGACAGTAGGTGTAAAAGAATAACAGGAAAGCCCAGCTCCAGCCCTCCGTTCAAAAGCTCGTCTCTGACTCCAGCCACGGGGGCTGCAACGAGGCACGAAGTGAGCAAGACGCCGATGAGTGGAGTGACCTCCTTGATCCTTGAGACCACCGAAGGAAGGTACTGATTCAGAACCAGCCCCGTCAAGATCGGCATCAGGACGACTTGGAACATCGATGTACACATCCCGACGCCGTCGATGCTGATTTTCAACCCAACTATCAGCTGCAGCAAGAGAGGTGTCATGACAGCGCAGGTGACCGTAGACATCAAAGTCATCAGGATCGACACGGGAAGATCCCCTCCCGCAATGAAGCAGGCAACGTTAGAAGCCTGGCTGCCTGGACAGCAAGACAGCAGGATGAGGCCGGTGGCGAGTGACTCCGAGAGGAAACGGCTGACGAGCAGTCCCAGGAGAGGCGTCATCGCATATCTGCAGACATATGCTATACCGATGGGGTACAAGTTGTCTCTCACTCGATACAGATCCTTAGCATTCAGACTTGTCCCGATGGACAACATGACGACTGACAGAAAGAGGCTGTAGGGGTCCATCTCCACCTTCCTGCCAAAGAGACTGAACAGAGTCCCCGGCTCGGTCGTGAGCCACCCAAAACTGTCTGGATTGTAAAGTGCGATGCCCGACAAGACAAACGTCCACAGGGGAAACAAGAGCGTCAGAGTCTCAATGACTTTGAAGTAGATGTCTCGAAATGTTCGCTTCCGGGGAATCACGACAGGTGGGGGCGGAGGTGGAGGCTGCTCCTTCTGCTTCCTCCTGAAGAGCCCTCCTCCTCGAAGTCTCTGAATGGTGGCAGTTGACTGGTGGACCCTCCTGATGCTATGCAAGGACGGCGGCATGGCCGCGCTTTCAAATGAAGGAAGAGCATGCACATGAAGGTCGAACATTAAAACCATCGCAAGGAAGATGTATCTTTCGTTCCACATGTCGAACATTTTAAGACAAGCTGTTCAGTCTGACAGTGAGACTCATTCAGAACAAGCAGTCCTGCGTACCTCAAATACACGCTATCAGACCCGATTCAACATGCTCGGTCTCAGTGAGCCTTCATTCGCCGATTCCTGCCCAGTCCATTCAGACTTCAGTACAGCAAACAGATGATTCGAGTCATGATGCAGAGATCCAAATATATTTATGGTACAACAAGAAATAGAGGATGTAGAGATGTATCCATATGCCTATGTGGAACAACAAGACAATGAGCCTCTGCGCCCCTACATACATTCTTGGGGTCAACTTGGAGTATGTACAAATCTTCTTTCCTCTTGCATCAGGAGTCTTGGTCAGGACTTTTCTCATATCTTGCTCGTTCAGCTTCCTCTCTCTCCCTCCCTCTCCCTTGTCTGACCTCTCTTCCCATTTCCCTCACTTAACCCACTGCATGATCCGCCCCTCCCGCGTTGCCCGCGCCGTCCCTGACGGCTGCGTTACATAACGGTTACAGAACGTTGCACTTCAACGACCATCCCGGATGATCGCCCGGCCGCGCCGGGCCGGGCCCCGGTCAGGGTACCGTACCGGGCGGCGTCACTACGGTCACTGCCTGGCCGAGTCACTGCCCGGCCGTGAGTACTACGGTAAAGATCGGACCGTCTGCCCGGCCAGCCTGGCAGGCCGGGCCGCGTCGCCGCCGACTCGGACTCCGGCCCCTCGTACCGGGCGTACCCGGCGCACGGTTCAACGGTTCATTCGACGGCGAGGTCCGATCGGCGGCGCCGGCCGCGGGCGGCGTCCCCGAGTCCCGCCGTCCGGTGGCGGGCCGCCAGGCAGCCTGACGGTCCGCCGGTCAGTCGGAGTGACTCGGGCTGCCGGGTTCCCTCGGAGCGGCTGACCGTCGGACTGTCCTGGCCCAGCTGAGCGCCCGGCCGGGCCGGCCCCGGCCGGAGCCGGGTCAAGCCTTTCAAGTTTCTGTTTCCGATGTCCCAGCCGGGGGCTCGGGCACGACGGTTCCCGAGTCCCGGTCCCTGAATCGACTAGTACGGTCACTGGGTAGGGGTAGGCCGGCCCGCCCGGCCCTTCCGGCGAGACGACCAGCCTGGCGGGGGGTGGAATTTTCTTTACTCAAAGTTAAGTTAAAGATCAGTACGAGGACAATGATTTTGTTTGTGTGATGTATGAGGGCCATTCCAACAAGCCGATTGTGAACTCATGGCTAACCTTTACTCAAAGTTAAGTTAAAAATCAGTACGAGGACAACTCCTGGCTTTTTGACTGGCAATCTGGGGAGCTCTAATAGTTTATTGTTGCGTCTATTCTTGCTTTAATTAATTTTATTCCAAGCTAAAGTAAATGTGCGGTAATGATACGTGTGTACCTGAAAGTTCCTTTATAATCCTGCGATCGTACTGTGAAAAAATAAAATAATTTTGTTGCAAGCCTGCGTCAACGGGTCCCTGCAAATCTCTTAGATTGGTGGGGTCCTGGGGTGGTGTATACGGCCTCCCCCCCAAAAAAATATGGTCATTGTGTTTTATTTTTATAATTCGAGTTTTATTGGACCGCGCAGCGCCATGCCGCCGCACGACCTTTACCTCCTAGCAGACCGCCATTTCGTCTCTCCAGAAGCTACAAGACAACGATTCCGATCACATCTTTACAGGGCATCATCCCAGACGCGCTCTTCACGCGGGAACAAGTCACAGAATGGAATCCAAGATGCCCATTGCTCTTTCATTCGCAGGCATTCTATCAACTCGATGTCAGTCCTCGATGGGACCAAGTACGCGAGTCTTGCCTCCCTGCTCTCTTGCTCTCGTCCCTTCGAGGCTGCTCTCACGCGGTCCGCCTTCCAGGTGCTGTTTTTGGCCATAGCATTGCACTGCATACATTTCTGCTATTTGGGGTATCTTCCGCTGGAAAGCCACAAGCATGTCCAGAAGCTAAGGTTTACCGCTTTAGAGCTGAGGGGAGGGAGCAGCCCCGAGAACATGAAGGTATCTTCTATCGGTGTGAGAATGTCAGGTGTCGACATTCCTATCCAGAAAGTTAGTGTAGAGGGTTCAGTTCTCACAGCCGACTTTGGCCAGGAAGTAGCATGGGATGCCTGGTACCTCAACACGAGCTTGAGCAGCATTGAGCTTGATCCTGTTCGCTTCTACGTTGAGAACTTTGATGCGAAGACAGGAAAGTGGGTCATGGTGGGCTCGTCTTCCTTCTTTGCTTATCTCAACTCGTACTGTTTTATCCACGGCAGATTCCAAACCAGTACGGTCCGAGGACAACAGGAGATTTTCACAGTCGAAAACAAGTGCGCAAAGCTGCAATTGGCATGTAAAGCCGCTACGTGTATCTTTCTCACATCTATTGTGTTGTGCGGGTTGACTGGGAAGGTTGAACTGGGACTTTTTCTTTACAAACTGGCTCATATTACGAACTTTGTGTTGTACCTGTGGTGTGGATATAAGGGCTGGTCTTTAGGAGAGCATTTGAATGGGAATATTGCCTATGAGCCCATGCTCATTATGTCCATGTTCTGGCTCTGCTCCTACATCTGCATTGGATGCTTTCAGCAACAGTACGTCACCCTCTCCTTCCAAGTACAAAGCGCCCTTGTCTTGCTAATCTTCCGATACACAGCAGGACGACCGCACTACGGGAGTGTTGATGTTGGGATGTCAATGACAATTTGTCTCTTGATCTTAACATTTTCGGGAGTATCCGTTCCCCTACTCCAGCTGTGGCAGAAGCGACAGGCAAGGAAGCAGATCATGCCTGATAGGCTTCAATACGACCAGGTGTGGTCGTCAGTGTTGTCTGCGTGCGGAGCTGAGTTCGATGAGCTCGAACAACTAGTTCGCAATCATCGGGAGTCATGCTCTGACGATGCACGGCAGTATTTGCAACATGGCGACCTGTCTCCCTGTCAAACACTTGAGGACTTGTACGCAAACAACGAGCTTGCTACGTTGCAGCTTAGAAGCAGCATATTGAGGTGGGGAGCAGCCAGTAACGGACAGCTGCACGCGCAGACAGGTGAGGACGGCTCCTACGTGAAGGCGAAAGATGCACAGGCCGAAGGAGGAAAACAAGTGCATTGGGCTCCAGTGAAGAGGCGGACGAGAGTGGTGGAGAAAGCCATCCGGGTGCACGGGGGAGACTTATCAAGAGTGACGGACATCGTGCGAGAATGCTTGATCTTCGATGAGGTCGGAGACATTGCTTTGTGCCTACAGGAGATCGTCAAGGACCAGAGCGTCGAAGTTGTCCGCATCAAGAATCGCCTGCACCACAGTTTCGATGCGGAGAGCACGGCAGGGTACAGGGACGTGCTTATAAATCTGAGGATGCTCTCGATGTCCTGGAAGGTGGTAGAGGTGCAGCTTATCCTCAAGCAGTTTGACGCACTTAAGAGCAAGGATGGGCATCGTCGGTATGTCGCCTACAGGAACAGCATCTGTGCGTGAACAACCGGCGCGGCTTGGGTTGGAATGATCATAAGTTAGTGGAACCATATGAAAATGGAATCCGATTGTAGTTTGTGTTTGATCTAAGTTTGTTGATTGTTGTTTTAGTACACTGACTGATTTTCTGCGGCGGGCGGGTGACTCAGTGACCGGGCCGGGTGAGAGACTCTCACTGGGCTCGATGATCATCAGAGTCGGAGTCAGAAGTAGTAGTACCACTGAAACTTTACTCATCTCCCACAATTTCTTGCTATATCCGGCATATTAAATGTGGTGGAACGATCAATTAACCCACCAGTGTCCAGTTGTTCTATACTCTGGGATTCAGGGGGTATTGATATAAACTATTTTATATGGTAGAAAAAAAGATACTACAAAGAAGTAACTAAACTTGTGTTGTATTCTCGTTCCTATTGTACTGCTGGACGCCTTGCATAGCCTTGCGAGGCATGGCAGGCAGGCTGAGGGGAGAGGAGGGCGAGCATGGCGAGAGCGCCGCCATGCTCTCTGAAACTGAGCCAAGAAGGAATCCAGTGAACCTAGCTAGACCAGAGCTCTCCTTTGTTGAAGGCTGTGTACCTCGAGGAGTGAAGCAAAGGTGCGAAAACGTGGAGGGCGGACAAAAATTGCCATCGCAAGGGAGGAGTGAGAGCACGAGGGGGAGGCTGAAGAAGATCCCTCGCGGAGCATCCCTGCATGGTCTCTTTGTGCTCTTTGTCTCTGTTTGCACCTGGAACTCCTTCGCATCAGGTTTATACAGAGATGGGTATGAGGTGGTGGAAACCGGACCTGGAGGCTTCTTCGGCGCGTTCCTTGACAATGACTCAGGAACAGCATGGTTCGGCATCGACGACAGCCCTGCACGACTGATCAGAGTGGATCTGAACACCATGACTGTCACAGGGAAGCTGGAGCTCCGCAAAGACGAGCAGCGGCTGTGGTGCATGGTGAAACATGGAAACTTTGGTTACATTGGGGTAGAGTCGCCAGGAGGGAGGCTGGTTGGAGTGGACCTGGACAAGATGGAGCGTCTAGGATATGCAACGGCGTCCAACTTTCCCCTGCTCGCTGGAAGAGTTGTCGGCAACTACGGTTACTTCTCTGCCGGATCGAACCCCGCCACGGTCATGCGCCTGCATCTGCTGCAGATGCAGCAAGGGAAGTGCCAGGACTGGGATCAGTGCAGGTTCGAAGTTGCTCTGCAGCAAGGAGAGGAAGCAGTGCGCTCGATCTTCCCGGATGCGAACGAGCAGCACATTTTCCTGGCCCTCTACACCTCCCCTGGTAGGATCGTCAAGCTGGCGATTCCGAGCTTGACCCGAGTGGCGCATCTGGATCTTGCTCCTGGAGAGGACAAGATCCTCAGCGGAGTCCGGTACGGTGACTATGGCATCTTCGGTACTGCCACGTCACCTGGTCGGCTGTTGAAGATTCACCTCCCCAGCATGACGAAGACAGCCTCGCTGACGCTGGTGGACGGGGAGGACAGGCCGGCTACCATCATCGTCAAGGGGAGGCATGCCTTCATCGGGTTCGGCTCTGCCTGGGCTGAAGGGACTTCCTCCGTGCTCAAGGTGGACCTGGAGAGGATGGTGCGCGTTAGCGCCATCATCACCAAGGAGGGTCAGACTTGGCTCTACACGGGTCTCGGGTACGGCAAGTACGCCTTCTTCGGTACCCGGGGCACCGCCACCTCCAAGCATGCTACCATCCTGCGGGTCAACACGAACCCCACCTTCCCCGGCATCCCCATCCCCCCCGTCTTCAACCGCAGCGGCTCCGACTACATCGAGCTCAACTGGCTCAGGGAGTACCCCGAGTACCACAACGGCGGCGCTCCCATCATTGGCGCTCGCGTTCTCCTGCGGCCTTCGAACCATCACGACTGGACGAGCGAGCATGTGTACGGCTATGCTGCTCCTGACCCCGCAGCTCCCAAGAACAGGTCGAGCGTGCAGCTCCCATTGCACCTTCTCCCTCCTCCCTTGCTTCTCTTGTTCTTTAGCCATTTACAACCCCCCTCCTCCCTCCTCCCTCCTCCCTCCTCCCTCCTCCCTCCTCCCTCCTCCCTCCTCCCCTCCTCCCTCCTCCCTCCTCCCCTGCTTCCTGGCAGATACAGTGACCAAATCACTTCTCTCTCCCCCCCCTCTCCTTCCTTCTATCACCCCGCCTCTCTGCTTCCGTTCCGAACCACAATGATGTCATGCCAGGATTTCGCGTGTCCATGAGGAGCCGGTGGACCTCGAAGCGCACGGGTATGTGGCGCGGGTGGATCAGTTGGACGCAGAGAGCGGCTACAAGTTCGCCGTCATCCTGACCAACGAAGTGGGTCCGAGCCATAGGAGCAGGAGCTCGCTCGAGATGAGAACTGCCGTCTCCTATGTGGTGGAGCTCTGCTGGGTCGGCTTCGTCCTGCTCGTCTGCGCCATCCTCGGCGCCATCTACTACTTCGGGGTGAGCCTTGCTCCCCGGTTGGACGCGCTGTATTGGGACAACGAGAGCGAGGAGGAAGCAGGGAGCTCCCTGCTGAGGAGCGGGAAGGTCTTCATCTCCTCTACCATCCCACTGACTGGCTCCTCTGCTGGGGTCGACCTGCCGGAGGAAGGGAGGAAGGGACTGAGAGCCGTGGCGGGCAAGGTCGCCAACTCCTTCTCCTCGTGGATCAGTCAGCCCAACGCCGTCCGGAAGCTGCTCGGGGGGGTGACCCTCTTCTCCGTCCTCGGATCTTCTTCGGTCGCCCTCCAGTACCTTCTCATCGTCTTCGTCCACCAGCAGCAGCCGTGGCTCGAGAAGCCCTCCCGCTACCTCTACAGCATCGTCACCGTCGTCTGTAGCGGCGCCCTTGCATGGGCCATGGCCTCTGCCTTTGCGGCTCTTCAGGTGGCGCAGGGCGGCCGAGATTGAGGAAATCTGATGAAGTTGACAGGCCAGAGAGTACGACCATGCGCGAAGAGTTGCCGTCGCGTCGCTTCTCGTTGCATGGGCGACCATGATCTCTTCCATCACCGTACTGCTTTTCTCCTCCTCCTCCTCCTCCTCCTCCTCCTGCTCCTCCTCCTGCTCCTCCTCCTGCTCCTCCTGCTCCTCCTGCTCCTCCTGCTCCTCCTCCTCCTCCTCCTCCTCACCAAGCATCGCAGGTGATCATTGCATGGACCTCTTCTCATCTCTCCCCTGATACGGTAAGTGCAAACATGCCGAGCCGAGATTCGAAGGGGCAGGGGCATATAGCTCATTTGAAGAGAAAGGGGGAAGAGAAGGAGGGAGGGAGGTCGTGGGGAATGACGAGGAGGAGGAGTTGAGGAGCTGATGAGCATGGTAGGCGGCCATCACTGCATGGGCCTCATCTTTCTGCCTTGTCTTCGGCCTGGTAACTCTCCCCCACAAACTGCTCGGCCTGACTCTTCCAAGCTGGGGGTCGTCGTGGAGACCGTCATCTCTATCCTAAGGACCCATGGACAGGTGAGAATGCCCATCTGACGTCGAGCTGGTCTGATGTACCCGCAGCCCGCGCAGACCGTCACTCTCCCGGAGCTGGGACTCTCCGACTGGTTGACAGAGCGACTTTAGTCAGCTGCTGCCAGTCGGTGGGATAGAGCCTCCTCCTCCTCCTCCTCCTCCTTCTCCCTTCCTCTCCCACACCCTCGTCAGTGTGATAGGCAAGAGCTGGATCAAGGCATCGCCTCCCCCAGCAAGGGCCCCAACACGTCGAGGAGCCCGAGAGATCAGTGAGGGAGCAGGTCAGAGCTTGAGAGGCGCTAGCACGACTCATGTGCTTGCCTCAAGTGCATTTTGCTGCTGTTGGACCAGCAGCAGCCCAAGGAATCGGAGGAGGGGAGGAGGGGGAGGGGTAGGGGAGGGGTCAGAGCCGGGACTGAGGGGTTCTGGCTTCATTTGAAGGGGTTTATAAAACAATCACTGTACAGATGTAGTAGGGCGTCCCTGCTGGAAGGGAGTAGGGGTTTCCATCCTCCCCTTCCCCCGCAAAGTGCTGGTAGATCTCCACAATCTGCTCACAGTCCACGTCATGCCGTCAACCGCATCAGCAGCAGCACTCACGCTGCCCAGCACGTAGTCCACCAGGCCTCCTGCCTTGGTCTTCGCCGCCTCCAGAGACTCTTGAGAGAGGTAGCGGAAGGGGCAGCTGCGATGGAAGGCAATGAAGTTTCTGACATCAGGGTATGTAAGAGAATTGTAAACAAGATTTATACTCCCTTTCTCCTCCTTCCCCTCCCTTGCCCCCTCTTCCTTCATCCTTCGTTCTACCGCTTCTGCATCCCCCCCAATCTTCTTTCCCTTCCCCTCTCCCCCTTTTCATCCCTCCCTTACTCCCTATCCCTCCCCCCGCCCTCTCCCTCTTCTTGATCTGCTTACCCAGAGCTGGTGGGCAGGAACAAAGCCGTGTCCCCTGCCTCGAAGGACGTGAAGGAAATCTTGCTCTTCGAACACATCTTCCACAACTCCTCCCTTTCCCTCAATTGCCTGACCTCTTCCACAAGATCGTCCGAGCTCAACCTCCCATGCCCCCCAAGAGCTGAGGGAGCCTGCGGCACAGCACAAGATCAGATGAGAAGGGGGAGTAAACGAAGACAGCTGCCTTGTTCGACGAGCAGATGTCAACAAGGCTTTTCTTCAGCTCTGCTATCTTGGACCTCGACTTCTCTAGCTCTCGTCTCAGCGTCTCCACGTCCATCTCCTCCACTGGCAGAGCATCTTCCAGCTCGTCGAGGTTCACCCAGTCGCTCTCCCCGTACGAATGTCGGTCACCCGCCTCCATCAGGTTGGATCTATCGGGAATTTCCTGCTGGTGCGATCGCCGAGCCCTGAAACCAGACAGTCAACTACTTCCTGAAAGGAGACATCTGATCATGCTTATATCTAGCTTCCAGTGCGCTTGTTTTCCGTCAGACAGAGCGGAGATAGCCATGAAAAAAAACTGGGTAATACAGATATGCCAACCTCCCACTCCCCATCCCCTTCCTTCTCTGTGGGCCGTCCCTGTCCTATTACTCCCAGCTCCTATCCCTGATCTTCCCTCCTTCCCTGTCCCCTGCTCCTGCTCCTGCTCCTGCTCCTGCTCCTGCTCCTGCTCCTGCTCCTGCTCCTGCCCCTGCTCCTGCCCCTGCTCCCCTCCCTCTTCTACCTTCCTCACTCGCCTCTCCTACCCCTCGCCATCTTGTTCTGTCCTTGCCCCCAAATATCTTTTTTGGGGTTTTACAGTACATAACCCGTCTTTTTCTTTTTCTTTCTTTTACACCCCGACAGCCCATGGCAAGTTCTCTCACTTTCCCGCTCCTCTTCACCATGGCGGCGATCGCAGCAGCAGACATGAAGTCTCTATCCTCTCTGCATTGTAACAGTCGCTCAACTCGTCCGGCGTCCTCCTCTGCCTTCCTTCCCTCCTGCCCGATGCAGCGTCTCCACCCCTCCCACTCACCCTGTCCGAGGAGAGCTGGGGTCTATGGATATCCGAGCTACAGGCTGGTCAGCAGGAGGGCGAACAGGTTGGAAATGAGCGAGGTTACCTATCTTATGTACCTTCATGCTGCCCATCCTGATCCTCCTGATCTATAGACAAAGACTAGCACTTCCTCCTCGATCCTCAGCATTTTCTGCCCTTTGTTGAAGTTGTTCTCGAAGTAAGTTCCGATCCTCCTCCTCCTCCTCCTCAATCCTCCTCCTCCTCCTCAATCCTCCTCCTCCTCCTCAATCCTCCTCCTCCTCCTCCTCCTCCTCCTCAATCCTCCTCAATCCTCCTCCTCCTCCTCTTCAATCCTCCTCCTCCTCCTCCTCCTCCTCTTCAATCCTCCTCCTCCTCCTCCTCCTCCTCTTCAATCCTCCTCCTCCTCCTCAATCCTTCCCTTCAACCTCACTGCTACCCCGCTTGCTCGTTCCTCCTCCTTGTCGCTTCCATGCGCTCACGAGATCCTGCACAGCTCAGATCCCACTGCGCCTCGGAATAAGGGGATGGAAACGGCTCTAACAGGTACGGGAGTCGATAACTAGAGCTCCTCTTGATCAGGCCATGTCGCCCTCCCAGCATGATCCTCTTCTTTCTCGCTTGTCACAGGATTCTCTTCCATGGCGCGACTTCCCTGGGGCAGCCAAGTGTCGCCTCTTGCAGCGTCGAGGCCACAGCCTCCGCTGCCTATCAAGATCTATGAATTTGAAGCCTGTCCCTTCTGCAGGTTCATACACCTGATGCAGGAGTAGGAGTAGGAAGGTGACGATGGGGAGGAGTAGGGGCAAGAGTAGGAGCAGGAGAAAGAGGCGGAGGTGGTACTGGTGGAGGAAATGTTGACGACGATGATTTCGATGAAGGCTTGTGCGGGAGGTGATTACCTTCCTCGATTTGGAAGTCGAAGTCTACCCCTGCCCAAAGGGCTCTCAGTTCCACAGGGCGATCGTGAGCCGCTCGCTCTGCGCGCCGGAGCCGTCCTGACCCTTGTGGTTGCGTTTCAGGTAGAGGAGAAGGGAGGGAGACAGATGTTTCCGTTCTTGGTGGATGAGAACACTGGAGTGAGCATGTACGAGTCCTCGGAGATCGTCCGCTACCTCCTTCGCACCTATGCCAACGGGGCCGAGACCCCTCCATTCCTCTTCCAGAGTGTCCTGCTATCAGGTACAGCATTACACCGCGCCATGCCGCGCTGACGAGGAGCGAGGTTGGGTCCCCACGCTCCTGCGAGCTGGGAGGGGGATGATGCGCTTCGACCGGGCGGTGGAGGAGCAGCCAAGGAAGCTTCTGGAGCTGTACAGGTCCTTCTGCTTCCTCTCCCTTCCGATCCTCACTCCCTGCTCTCAGTTACGAGAACAATCAGTTCTGCAGGTGGGGGAGAGCTGTAGGAGCCCGTGCTCTCCTCTCATGGTATACAGGCTGGTGCGGGAAGCTCTGTGCGAGCTGGAGCTGCCGTACAAGCTCATCAGTGCCGGCAAGGGGGTAAGTGGAGCTGTTCCTCCAGCATGCTGGTGACCCCTTCCTGTCCCGCACCCTCAGTCTCAGAATGGGAGGGAGAAACTGCAGGTGTGGAAGAGGAGGAGGAGGAGGAGGAGGCTGTTGCAGTGAGGTTGGAACAGGGGATCCAAGGATCGACGAGATGTCCTTACCTGGTCGATCCTAATACAGACAAGGTATGGAGGGAGGGGAGGGAAAAGTTGCTGAGGGTGACACGTCGACTGCAGCAAGTTTCTGATTCTGCGGAGATCATGAAATACTTGTTCGAGAACTACGTCAGGGCGTGAGGAGAGATTTGACGCTCGCAGACAATCAAGGGATGGAGATGTGGTAGAGTCGATCGATAGATTTAGCCGCACATTGGCGAGTAGAGGTCCTTCGAAACATTCAGCTCTGCTGTAAAGTCTCGACGGGAGCATAAGGGGGTTGGGGGGAGGGTCTCAAGTCCTCAGCTGCATTAAATCCGTTGAATCGTAAGACGTGAAGGGAGAGGGAGGAGGAGACTTTGTTTCTTCAAGGCGCCTCACGTTGATATTGCTGATGTCCAGGAATGCGGCAGCTATCAACTCAGTTCGGCTCCTCTCTTCTCTTCACTTCCTAAACTTCTTCAGCATCTCCAACGCACTCACTTTCGGCTTCGCTGTCTTCTGTGCATTGTCTGCACTGTTGCTCGATGCTGCAGAGCTCTGCGCTGCTCCCGTCGCGCCAGGAGCCGCGCCCTTGCTCCTGTCTTGGCTCGCGCTTGTCCAGCTTCGCCCTGATGACGGCTTCTTCTCCAACTCCTCATCCTCATCCGAATCATTGTTTGCTATCAGTGCCTTCATCACGTTGTCTGCTACCATCTGACACATGTCCTTCTTCTTCTCCTCGTGTGTATGAGGTGCTGCCTCCTCTGATCCTCCCAGCCTCTTGTTGTCCTCCTTGCTGGCCCCCTGGCCTGAACTCTGCGATTTCTCCTCCTCATGCTCATTCGACAACGACGCTGCTTTGACACGCCCTGAGTCTGAGTTGCTGATTGTTTCCACCTTGACTTCTGACTCCCTGCTCCCTCCTCCTTTGGAAACTTGTGCTCGGCGCCGCTTCCGGCTCTCGTCTAGCGGCTCGTCGTCGTCCAGCTCTACGACCTCATCCTTCACTGCCGCGCGCCCCTGGCGCTGAGGACGATTCTTCATAGGGCTCGGGGGGATTTCGATGGCCGGAATTACTTCCTCCTCGTCCTCGTCCTCGTCCTCGTCCTCGTCCTCGTCAAGTCGACTAGAAGCTTTCTTGCGTGCGTGCAAGATCTGGTGCCGGGGTCTCTTCCGTGACGTCTGCGCTTTCGACTCATTGGAGCTCTGAGGCTTCTTCCTCCCTCCCTTGCTACTCGTGCTCTCTTTGATGACCTCCTCCATCCAGCTCGGCACTTGCCTTCCCGATTTCAGCGTGTACACCCCACGGACGATCTTCCCCTCTGAGGGTCCGGCCTCTCTGCCATTCGAGCCGTGCTGGGCATCGGAAGCAAACACTCCTCCCTCCTCCCTTTTCACGCTTCCTCCCTCCCCACTACTCGCTGCCGCCGCTGATCCGGACGAGTCAGCCTTGCCGGCCTGCTCGTCATCGAAGCACAACAACAAGACCGCAGCGAAATGCTTACATTTCCCGCCACACTTGGAACCATCTCCACAATTACAACTCTGATCCGTCCATCCTCCACCCTCCACAAGACGCAATGATACTTGATATAGTTCTGTGCCCGATACATCAGCAGTCACCCTCCCGCTGACGGAGCGGAACCCAATCACAGACTTCTCCTGCAGGATCTCCTCTGCCTTGTCGATCTTCTTGTTCGATCGAGGTCCCATGAAGGCTTCGAGGTCTTCCTTCAGCTTCTCTCTCCCTCCATCCTCCCTCCTCTCCGCTTGCCATGCTCCAAGAGTGGTGGACATGAAAGATAGCTGAGAGGACGTGAGGGGTGGGGGGTCTATTGTAGTGGGTGGGGGTTACCGATTGTGACCAGTAGGCCCTTTTATCTAGGAGAAGCACTACTGATAAGTTGACTTACATGGCCTATGTGCTTATGCAAGGGGTGGGGGTACATCTGAACCGGTTATGCCATTTTCTATGAAACATGGTTTTCGCAATCAAGGTCAAATTTTCAAACAAATTGAACTTTTTGGATATGTTTGTTTAGATTTTTTATCAAATTTGAAATTTAATGGACAAAGTTACCACCAAATACTGAAGCTTGACTGAAATTTGGAAATTCTTGTGCTCCCAAAGTACCCTACCCCTTTCCCCCTCCTTCATACACGCGGGAAAGCACCGGTGCTTGACACTTCTGTTCGGACCGACCACAATGCTTGGCGCAGCACACGTGCTTGAGCCAGCAGCTTTCCAGTCCTCCTCCTCCTCCTCCTCCTCCTCCTCCCCTTGTTGACTAGTCGTTGTCTTCCTCTCAGTCTAGAAGCTCTTCCTCCTCTTGTACCCGTCCTCATCGAGGCTCTTTCCTTGTGCTCGGCTTCGCCTACTGCAGTCTCATACTTTGTCCTTTGGGATCAACTGAAGATAAGGCCGTTAGAGCACAGAAGACAGCAGTCAAGGTCTTGATCAGGGGTCCTGTTGACTGAACAAGAGTCCCTGGATTTCATCGGCCTTTTCTTGCAGCAGCAGCTGCCGTTCTTGTTTCCCATTGCTTGTCTTGATCTCAGCTATCTTCAAAGGAAATGGAAAGCCCGGCATCGCACATGTCAGAAGATGAGAAGAGTAACATTTCAGACAGATCAGCAACAAGCTCAGCTGGTTTGGAGCTGGAAGATTCTTGTCAAGCATGGATGTCGCTTCCGCGGAATGTTGCCCCTAAGAGCTCCTGCAAGGATTGGATGGACAAACCGACTTCTATCACCGAGACCCTCGAGTCAGACGTGCAGGCCAGTAGCAGGCAAGGAGTTGTCGTATCCTACTTGCTCGCAGACGGATTAGGCGTGACTCCTCTCTTTACCATGTAAGAAAACGTGACAAGAGTTGATGTTGACATGTTCATGTTCAATCAAATATCTTCCCTTCCCCTTTCCTTCTCTTGTTGAACCCACCACCACCACCACCTCCTCCCCCCCCCTTCTCTCTCTCTCTCTCTCTTCATCATCCCCGTCCTCGACTTTCACCCATCTGTCATCGAGTACAACTCATCCGAACTCGATCTCTGATTCCGAGCTCGAGACTTGTGCATATCGATCCCTCTCCTCCTCCACTCCTGATCTGATGTCAAGATCCCCTATCTGTTCGCTTGTGTATGCGGGTCTCTCAGGAGACGAGGAGCCTCCCCCCTGCTCCAGCTCCCTCCCAACCACACTCCCGTCCCCAAACATCCTGTCGCTCATCTCTGGCATGGCGAAGTCTTGCTGCCACCGCGCTTCCATGGGCGTGTCCTCCCGCCATATCGCAGCCTCATCCTGCCCATCTGCGACATGTCACCAGAAGATTCAGAGAGGAGAGGAGGTCTACCTCCCATGAACGGCTGGAACTTGGGAGGATCAAGATCCCACAGCCCTTCTTCTGCTCCTCCTGCCCCTCCCGCTCCTGCTTCCAACTCCCACGTGCCAAGTCTCCCTCCCGCTCCCCCTCCTGCTCCTGACTGGAAGTCCCACATCCCCGCAGCAGCTGCTCCTGCTCCTACCACTCCTCCAGCTGGCTGGAAGTCCCACATTCCTCCTCCCATAGCAGGGTTGTTGCTCCAAAGGTCTTGCGCCACCTCGTCTCCCTGCTGCATCTGGAGCCCGACCTGCAAAGAGATCAGCACAGGATGAGAATGACGGTGGAGAGCAGGAGGAGAGGAGAGAGGAGCGGTGGAAAGATGGAAAGGGGCAGGTGGAAGGGAGAGGAAGGAAAGGGACAGGGAAAAAGGAGGGAAAAGGAGGGGGAGAGGAGGAAGGAGGGAGGTCAGAGGTAGAAGGGAAGAGGAGAGGAAGATGGGAGGCAGGATGGGAGGGAGGATGGGAGGGAGAAGGGGAGGGAGGAGGGGAGGGAAGAGGGGAGGCAGGGCTAACATGTTCCATATCAGGGAACTCTTCTTCTCTGGAACAAAAGCATTAGGGTTTGCCCGTCAGTCGATCGCCTTTACCTCTGGTTGTCATACTGTGCTCTTGCACGTGCAATCGCCTCAGTCAGACTGTCACCCTGCTGTCTCGTCGCATCCTTCTTCCCTTCCTCGCCCTCCCCTTCGTTGTTCCCTTCCCACCCTCTTCCCTCCTCCTGCTCTTCGGCCTCCTTCAGCGGTCTCTCTACGGTCTTGTTGAAGTTCTGCTGGTCCAATTTCTCCTCCTGCTCCTCTGCACCTCCTGCCCCTGCCTCCTTCCACTCCTCCTCCCCCCATCCATGTTCCTTCTCGCTCTTCCCTTCCGCTGCTACATCGACCTCGTGTGCTACTGCCGCATAGTCATCCTCAGCAGAAACTTCCTCTTTCTCCCCAACGGCTTCTTCCTGCTGCTGCTGCTGCTGCTCCTCCTCCTCGTCCTGCTCGTCCTGCTCGTCCTGCTCGTCCTGCTCGTCCTGCTCGTCCTCCTGCTCTGCCTCATGAGTAGCATCCATAGTCTGTTCAGCCCTGGCGTGTTCTTCTGCGTGGGGGTCGCGGATCGTCGATTCAGAAAGCACCATCTCTTGCTCTTGAGTACCATCTCCTGCTCCTGATCTCTCCTCCTGCTCCCGTTCCTCGTCACGGTGAAATGCCTTGACCTCCACCTTCACTTGGATCAGCACAAGAATAGGATACAGAAAAGTCGCCTCCTCTCCCCTTCGCTGCACCTGCAAAACCCCTCTTCCGCTCCTCCACTAACTTGCTCTGGGTATCCTCCTTTCATCCTCCTCGTTGCCTTCCTCCCCTGCTTCCTTTTCCTGCACATCCTGCCACACTAATCCTTGCCGCCTCCTCGTCCTCGTCCTCGTCCTCGTCCACAGTCTCTCCCTCGACCTCTTCAGTGACAGTTCCCTCCTCCTCACCTCTTCTGCGCTGCTCTCAAGAACGTGTCTCCTCCCCCGGGAATGGAAGACCTGCCCGAGCAGCCCACGATTACACTGAGAACTGAGCAAGTCATGGTTTTGGGTCCTTTCCTCGTCTCCCTCCTCTTTTCTCGCTTGCACAGCTGCTGTATCTCTGCACGTCAAACAAGTCAGCACGATCTTTCTAGTTGAGGTCCCCGGCGCCAACACCTCTCAACTTCTCCCGTGTACTCCAAGTTGATCTCAATCTTCTCGTCTGTGAATGCAATCAGGTTGCCATTGAGTCGCAACACATGCCGGGGCAAGTTCCAACGCCAAGAAACGCTTCACGTTCAACACTCAACAACTCATCAATCGTTCACATCCTCCACAAAGCTCCTCAGATTTGACAGCTTGAAACGAGAGTAAGTGTGGATACGGTTCGTCCGACCTGTCTCAGTGTGGAACAGCGACATGTGCTCTTCTTCTCGTGCTTCCCTCAGCAGAGATGCTGATGGAAAAGTCACATATCTCGCGGCAAGTCAGCGATCCACTCACAGTCTCTCTCGGATCGCATCCTATGGTTGACGATGTTGCGATCGATCACGATGCCATTCTTCTTCTCCTCCATTTCAAGGATCTTCCTGCTCCTCGTCTTCACCCACAGCCCAGACCACCACCACCACCACCACCACCACCTCCTCCTCCTCCTCCTCCTCCTCCTCCTCCTCCTCCTCCTCCTCCTCCTCCTGACCTCTTCGCTCTCACAATCGCCTCACGAAGGCTCACTCGCCCAACTTCCGTTCGGTTGGCTTCTCTATCCTTGCCCTCGTCTCTGTCGCACATCGTCAAGGAGCGTCAGCCACGTAGCCAGCCCCACTGATATCG